CCCCCCCCCCAGTGTACATGCCCTATGGCAAAAATCTCTCTCTAAAAGAAGAACTTCATGTCACTGAGCTCTTTATTCACTTCATCTCTGTCCCTTTTGTGTGTTGCTTGGCTTCCCAGAGGGCAAGTGCACTCGCCAGAGAGAAATGGGGTAGGGGCGAGAAAGCCGCAGGCGTGTGTTCCGGCTGCGTTCCGTCCTTGTCCCCTCCTGGGCTCATGCACACATGCCCCGTGCCAGGACTGGAACTCGGGTCGCAGCGGGCCCTGTGGGCTCGGGCTCCCTTCTCCACCAAGCCAGGGAGCGGCCCTCAGGTCCATCCTCCTTTGTTTTGAGAGACTTGGTGATATCTTACTTAGCTCTTGTTCCTATATGCGTGTGTGCCCAAAATCCCAAGAGGAGAGTGGAGAAGGGATTGTGGCATAGCCATCCCTGGGGGGGGGTTTCTCACTTTTCCTCTCTCTGTATCTCTCTGTCTCTCTGCAGTGAGCAGGAGGCAAAACCTTTATAAAAAATAAAAAGAAAAAGGAATGAATGAGAGAGGAACCCTAGCCCATAACCTCGGGCTTGGTGGCTGTGCTACTGTCTCTCTCGCCTGTCGCCCCCCAGATGGCATGGCGTCTCCCCAAGTGTTCTGGGAAGCCTAGCCCCTGGGCACGGAACCATGTAACTGTTCGTTTCAAATGCACGATTATAAGGAGATGAAATCTTTCAAAACGTTTCTGCAACTCACAGACAGCACTCCGGGCCGTGGGCGTGTTTCTACACAGGTCTTTGGGGGCGGCGCGGCGGGTGCTGAGCCTCTGTCGCCGCGGGTGGCACCTGGGGGCGGGGGCCCGAGCCCCACCTCCCTCCCGGGCACGGCGCCCTCCCTGCCTCCCTGCCCGGCTCCAGTTTCGCGCAGGCAGCAGGAGTCAGGTTCTGCTTTTGTTCAGCAGCCCCGAGGGAAGAAAGCGAACACCCCGACTGCGGGGCGCTGCTCGTCGCGGCCCTCGGACCTTTTGTCCCTGTCTCCTGGCCACCACCCTTCCTCCTGCGGGTCGGTCTCCGCTCTCTCCGCTTCGGTGACGCGGACCGTTCCTCCCAGCGCCCAGCAGGGGGCGCGCCCGCTCTGCACCTTCCCGGGTCTTGCCTGAACCTGGTTCTTACCCTCCGCCTAGGAGCTAACCCGGCTGTGTCTTCCCTCCGTCTACCCCCAACTCCTGCCTCTCTCTCTCTCTCTCTCTTTGTTTAATAATTGTTTTATTTCACTTTATTTATGTGCTGATTTTAGAGTGAGAAAGAGAGAGAGAAAGGGAGAAAGCAAGCTGCCAGGCCCGGGTCGGCCATGGGAGTCCAGCACCCTAACCCACACGCCACCTGCCGGCCCTCTCCTGTCTTTATTTCAGTATCTGGGGGCGAAAAAACAGAAGTAGGAAGATTGGGGGTTTCAGTTTCATGGGCTCCGATACAAAGCTTCCTGGGAAGGCTCTCAGTTTTATCCCATCACATCACCAGTCCTGTAATTCTCCAACACGTGTTTCCTAAGCACCTACTGTGTGCTGGTCCCGGAGGCCAGATGTAGACCATCCTGTCAGGACTCGGTTTCGGGTTTTGGAGCGTTCGGGATTACAGACTGTTGAAGAGGCGTGCTGGGCCTGTGTATCCATCAGGGGTGTGAT